TTTGGGAAAAAAATTAAATAAAATTAAAAATTTAAATGTTTGAAGTAAATTTTTTAAAAAGTACAATCGCTAAAATCTCTTTTTTTTTTCCCTTCCTTTCTCTAGATTAAAAACAGTGACCATGACTGACCAATCATGGTTAACTATCATTCAATCTTAAATTAGGCATACCCAATCAAACTTAGTCTATGATAATGGTTTAATTAACTCAATCATGGGCTAAAAGATTAAAGGATCTAACTTCCATTCTCACAGACCTATGACATAGGAAGCCTTTTCCGTCTTCAATAACGGCGCCGGACATGGCCGGCAAATCGCCAAGAGGAAACAAATCGGCGGCGACGAACAGTGGATTCACAAGTTGTTCTCCCAAAGCGGCATCGCGAGAAATCAAAGCCCAGTCTTGGATGAAGTTGACCATGGTGGCCATATCCGCCAGCTTATGGGACAGAAGCACTCCAACGGCAAATCCCCCACACTCAAATAACGTAATCTGAACCATCAACAAAGCACCCGATTTTGACTCTTTCCATTGCAACCCATCGCCAAACATCACCTCCACAATCTCACTTCTACGCTTCTCCACTACTTCCGATAGCCGCCCCGATCTCACCCTCGCTTCCAAAAAAGTTACCCCCTCGTCGTTACACTCCACCCGCTCTTTATCTTTCATCCGTCCCGCAAAAGGGTAGTACCTGTTCAAACCCAATACATATTAAATTAGAAAATACTAGACTCCCTAACCGCAGCGAGAAATGCAACATTAGAGACTCTTCATAAAAATTGATGAGTTATGACTCAAATATTTTCCTATTAAACTTCATGCAACTAATCAATTTAAGCATGGTGCTTTTGGGTTCAGTGACAATACCGAGACAAAGTCTTGGAAAGAGATAGCTTAAGAGATTCCGATATGACGACAATACTACTACGACTGCAGTCGTTATCGTGGCGAAAGAAGAAAACAAGAGGCACGAACATGTGGGGAGCGAGCTGATCAAAGAGGGAGAGAGCATGGATTTTGAGATGGGGAGGGGTTGGAGAGGAGGGTTTAATGGTTTCTCTCGAAACAATTTCAAGCAACATGTTGATTATCGTTGTTGCTAGTTATTTGTCTCTCACAAATGTGTGAGTTTTCTCGATTCAACTTCTCCCCTTTATAACATGGAGAAGCTGAAGAAAAGATGAGGAAAAAGAAAAAAAATAAATTAATTAATTAATTACTTAATTAATTAAGCAATTCTATTGCGTGAGAGATGAGAACAAAAGCTTGGTATGTGGGGGACCAAATATTTGTTGCGCAAAAATGGCGCCCTACTAGCCCCTTGTGGTGCCTACCAGTCTACTTCATTAATTAAAAACATTAGCCTCTAAATTATTTTATTTCTTGGTTAAAAACTTAACATACATTTTAATTAATTTTGTATAAGTCATATTTTGGTTTTAATGTTATATTCTCGATTAAAAATATAATATATTGTAAAGGTGTGAATCGAGATTTGAATCAGGTTCGACTTATAGGAAAAGTTAAATAATACCTAATAATTGATTAATTAAAATAATAGATTTTTTAATTACTTTCTACCTTTCAACCCTACATTCTTTTTATGTGTAGAGCCTGAATTACAATTGTTATTTTAAAAAATGTATGTATATTTTTATTAAGAAGTACTAGAGAAATGTATTTTAAGTTTAACCATGTGTTTGTTTCGTTAAATTACAATTTAGTTTTTCATTACTTCGAGATTAGCTGTCCTTTTTTTCTTTTAATTTAAGAGAAATTTTCACATTATACTTGGTCACAAATTTGGCACTAATAGAATTTAATCAATGATCTTAAGTCTCTTTATACCGGGTACTCAAATTTAGAGTCAAATAAAATAAAAAGAAATAGGTAGGAACAATCGGTTAATCTAGATCTATTTGACTTTGGACTTATAGATACAAGATAGTCTAGCACCCACAAAATTAGTCTGAGAATCTTTTTTTATTTATGATGGATCTACTCAATTTTTTTTTTTTTTAAAGAGAGAGAGTATATGGAAGATATCAATTTGAATGTCGGTTCGATTCTAATTAATAAATAATAGACATATTATGTATTTCTTTTCACCTCATTTTTTCATATTTTGTGTTTGTAACAAATTATGTAACAATCGGTTTAAAAAAAACGTATTCGCCCAAACCATGCACAAAATTATAATGGTAGAGTTGAATTACAATAAATTTTTTTTCTTTTGCAAAGAAAAACATTGTAATTAGTATTTTTTGTAGTACAAACCATTTGAGAAAATTATTGACCTTTTTTTATTTTTTAATATAGGAGAGCTTGAATTTGGATCTTAGATGACAACATCCAAACCTCTTACCACACATSTGATAGTGCAATTACAATAATTTTTCAAATTAGTTATAGTCAATTTAATTAATAGATCGATAGATAAAGTATTAATTACTTTAACTAAGGTTAAACATTCAATCTCCAGTCGTTGCGTTAAAAAAATAATAATAATAGAAGGATAGTTATTCAAATTAAAAGTTTTGAAGTATATTTACAGGTATTGACATGACAAAAATACATAATTTTATATATATATATATATAGTTCAATATGAAGCGTAGAAATTTAAATCTTTAATATATATGATTTTAAAATGAAAAAATATATATATAAAAATTCTCCCCCGTGGGGGTAGTAAAGGAATTAAACTCTCCCACAGTTTTTCCAAAGATTTTCTTATTATTTCAAACCAACCATTCAGATTTGGACTTCCTGCTCGATTTTTGTTATTATTATTTTATTTATTCTATACCTTCTTCTTGTACTGTAATTTAATTACCAAATCGTATGACTAAATTCAACATCGGTAAGTCGGGGCGCGGCGGCTTTCGCATTCTCCGTCCTGTTGAACCGCTGGAACGGCGGACTTCTGCGGTGGAACCGGCGAGCACCGCTGGAGAAAGGGTACCCAAAAAGTAACGGAAAATCAGACTGATTATTAAACGGCAAAGCGGGATAAAAATAAATGTCGAAGGGGCAAAAGGGTAAATCGCCGGTTGCTAATATTTCGAAAAAYTGAACCCGACGTGAATCGAACACGCAACCTTCTGATCTGGAATCAGACGCGCTACCATTGTACCACGGATCCTTTGATGACATCATACGAAGTCTAACTATATTTATTAAGTACACAAAATTGCACTATTTTTCCTAGTTTTTTCTTCTAAAATATCACATCAGTACAAATAATAAAAATGTTCTTCTTTTACTATATTTTTTTAAAATTATATTAGTGTTATGAAATTAATTAAAAAAATTGTTCAATCAACTATTAATCTCTCTAGTTAATGATAAGGAATTGATTTTTTTTTAAATAAAAAGTAGATGCAAAATAAAAAAAATTTAAGATCTAAAGAGGTAATTTATTCTCTCATCCAAAGTTTTTTTTATATGTTTTCTTTTTTTAGTATAACATGTTGAGAAGGGGATTTGAACTCACAACCTCTCGGTTGGAGGTATATGTCAATTACCTATAAATTCATTGAACATTCACACGTGAATACTTTTTTAACGATTCATCAAACGAATATCTATCGAGAGGTAAATTTTGAAACACTTTATAAGTTTAGTAAAGATTGTAATAAAGTTTAAATAACAATTTAACGATACTGAATATTAATGATAAAAGTTGATTTCTTTCTAGGTTCGGATACCCTTTTTTTTTCCAAAAGAATAATCTAATATCTTTGTCTCAGAAAATGTTGAAGACAAAAGTCACCTACCCATTAATTAAAACATAAGAAACATTGCTTAATCAGCATTTTTTTAATAAATCAAGCGATCATAACCACTCCTCTCTCTCTTTTTTTTTTCTTGAGACAAAATGCAATTTAAAAAATTCTAACAATAAATTAACTATTGTATTTATATTGTTAATTTGTCGATATCATTGGTGACAAATAGAGAAATTTAAATAAAGTTCTGATCTCTAAATTTAATATTGGACCCTAGACTTTAATTTTTTTGGTTTTTGTCCTTGACCTTTTATTCGGTCTAAATTTTCAGTCTTAAAAATTTTATAAATTTGGATTGTATCATATCTAAATATGACAGAAATTAAAAATATATGTATAGATTTAAGTAAAAATAAAAATAAAAGATAAAAACTAAAAACAAATAAAGAATTTAGAGGCTCTAATGAAAACTTAAAATTAAATACTCAAATAAAAATATGTAGGAGCTTTCCAAAATGACCACATCATTTCCATGGTTTTTCTTGATGCTCTTGAAATTAACAATCCTTTTTTTTAACTTAATTTCTTTTTTTGTATCCAAATTAAATATGAAATAAATTTGTTTTACTTCAAATAAATGATTTATTAATTCTTTTTATTTAATTGGTTTGTTATTATATATCTATCATCCATGCATGTATCTTTCACCTTTTCTATACTTAGTTGCATTAATTTGGTGATTTAGGTTTCGAAGTAGGTATAAATCATCAAAGTTCTTTTCTTAGTACAAGCATCCAAATTTATTAAAAATAATAATAAAAAAAAAGTTTCATACTTGTAAAATAATAATTAAGGGTACCATGCATATTTTTCATAGATCTAATATCATAGACAAAAAGAGCCCCCAACATCCTTTTAAGTTTTGGTTAAATTTAAAGATATGGTAGATTTTTTAAACTTTTTTTTAATACATTTAAAATTTTATTAGTATTCCCCACCTCCATCCTCACTAAAAAAAGATTCTAATCTTATGGGAAATAAATTTGGCAGATTAGTTGTTACTATCATCACTCTAATATAATTCTACCCAAAAAGAGAGAGAACTCTGACACATCACTTATGAGTACTACCAACTACCCGTCATAGAAAAAGGGAAGGGGAGAGTGAGACTCAACGAGTTTTTATAGGCGGATCTAAACTCATCATCACAAATCCTACCATGCTAACATAACCATCACTACATGACCTTATAAAGTAATGTTCTAACACTAGTATCAAATAGGTAGCCTAGCGAATGAAGTAATGGAACATCATGCAAGATGACTTCTTTGTTGGCAAAACGAAAGGCCTGGCTAGGCTAATAGCACTTCAATCTTTTGATAGTCTTTCCAATATTGTCAATCGTAGCATAAAACAGTGCATAAGACACTTATTCTCATCTCAAAAGCGAATGTTTCAATCCCCTACTCCTGGGGAAGGTTCAATCCCCCACCCCGCAAGCCACAAGGTTGACACTCTCTTGTAAGTCACTATTATTGATAGATCAGAAATCTAATTCACAATTTTGATACATATACACAGAAAAATGTAATGCTTTCCAAACATGCATATCTAAAGGCATTTTTTTATGTGCAGGGCGCCAAATATGTAGCACAACACAATGCTAAATAGTCTGTAAGGTATGACCAGGCTCAGGCTACATGAAGGATTTAAGAATAGCACGCAGAAAAGTTAAGAATATGCATACTGGACTATGGTTATTGGACAGACAAGAACCCCACAAGATATTATCATGTAGCAGGTAACAAATCCACGATCCATGGAAATTTGACCTAAACTATATGCGACTACAGTGTATTTCATGCCAATCAACAAGGTCGGGTAAATGAAAGTAAAAATTTCTTACTCTCACTAAACTGAAGTTGTCCGAGAGGTTAATTTATGAGGAACAAGCACGGCTTCATTACTTGCAGCTTTCTTTGCAGCAAGCTCTTCTAAACGTTTCCATGTGCCTTCTCGTCTTGCTTTTAGCTCATTTTCCTTTAATTCGTCTTCCTGAAACTTGACTAAGCATTCCTTGAGCAGCTCAGGATCAAGATCGTAAAATATCTTCCGGACATTCAAAGTCAAGCTATGGACAGCCTGATTCCAGTGACTCCTGGCATTCTTTTCCAAAGCTGGGAAGATTATGGGCAGTATGACCTTGCGGTTTTCCTTGATCAAGTTTTCAATGTGATCATTATTCCACAAGAATAGCGCCCTTTCTGCTACCTAGGAAAGCAAAATGCTGCGTTAGCGCAGGATTCAAGTACTTGTGTGAAAGTTTACACCTTTAAGCAACATCAATAAAAATCAAATGTCATTCCAGTCTCCACATGCCAAATACTCGGGTGTTGTAATACCACTATTACCCAGAGTAGGGGAAAAATCAATGCAACATTTTAAAATATAACAAGAATGAAGGGAAAGACAATCTTCTCACTGCAGTATTGCCTAATTTACAATCTTAAACATTCAAACTTCATGCTAACGAGCTTATATAATCCCAAATTTTCATAAAGGGGGATACATTTTGTCCAAGTATTCATAGAAGTACTGGCAGTCAAATGACAAATCTAAGTCCAAAGAAAATGGAATCACCAAAACATAAGACCAGACAAGAACAAAATGGAACTATTTAAAATATCAACATGTGAAAACCAAACAATCAATAAAAACAACTAGTACCTGAAAATGTGAACTATTTAGACATCGAGCAATTTGGCGAAACAGGGGTACCATGCAGCGCTGGAACTCTGGAAGTTGAGTTGCCTCTAATACCTCTTCCAACTCACTGAGGAACATAACTTCTTTTGAACTATTTGTGACTGGCCAATACTTCAATAAACCTCTTATAACTGTATCAGCAAGCTTGCAATCTTTCTCTACAAATTGCGTGATGCAGTATGATAACTGCTGATGGTACATTGCTAAGCATTTTGGTTTGTGCAAAGGGATCAATGCACGAACAAGGAATAACTTGTGCTCTTCTTTCAGAGGAAGAGCAAACCCGTTGATGATACTTCCCAAAATTTCTAAAAGTTCAGCAATCCCATTATGCTTTTCAGTCTCGAATATAAATCGATAAAATATGTTATTTATAGCTTTCCTAATAAATGGCCGGTGTACCATAAATTTCCCATAGATACGGTGCAGAATAGTTTTCAAGTATTCTCTTTCTCTAGGATCTTCAGAGTCGAACAGATCCAGCAGTTTCAGAATGAAAGAATGATCAATGTACCTTTTAGCCAATTTTGCGTCCATCTCAGGTGAGGCCACAAATCGGAGAAAGAACTCATACACAATTTGCAAATGAGGCCATGCAGGATCCATCGAAGGTTCCTCCTCTTCCAAATCAAAACCCTCCACCATTTTGCTCTCACGCGGTTGAGGACTCATTGTCCTAAATAAATTTAGGGAGACCATTTTTATAACTTCCTGAATAACAATTTCAGTAAATTTACTATTAACAGAAGTTACATAATCCACAATCTCCAGCAAAGTTTGTCGCTTGATCTCCTTCTCTTTAAGTTGTTTTGTAGGGTCACTGAAGTCAAACAAAAAGCAGCATAGATTCAGTTTCTTAACAAACAAATTCTGCTTTTCTGAGCTTGGAACTTCCCTAAACCCAGGTAATGGCTCATATGAAGACGTGGGAACTCCATTCAGTTTTGCATTCGCACCTTTATTAACCTTGCTACTATGATTTTGCCCTACATCTTGAACAGAGTTCGTAGCTGGAAAAGATGAAACCAGATTGATGGACTTGCCTGATGCTAAATCATTACTTCTCGAACCAGCAGATGCATAAGCAGTAGAAGGTGCCATATGGCTTCCACCATGTTCCCTACTCTCAGCACTCTTGGATGATTTTCGGGGAAGCTTACTAAATATCTGTTTGATCATAATTCATATAAGCCGACAAAGTGACACTCTCAAGAAAAAGTAAAACGCCCTTTTCCTTAGCCTCCAAGAAGCTGTTGATAGCTCCTACAAATCCATCAGCTCAGAAAACACTCCATTTTTCCCGTGTAAACCGGAGGGAGCAGTAATCATAGGAGCCCCTTTATCAACATCAACGAGAAGGAACAAAGCGAACCAAAACCACCCTTTTCGTCTAAACAATACACAGACTCATTCCTACAATAGATCGGACAAAAACACTGTCTTGAACCCATTTGATTCAACAAAACACCAAGAAGCGAAGTCGAACATATCATCTGCTATTCGGGAAAACCTAGTCAGCGTTATTTGACCTCAGATTTGAATTCAAACACCCAGACGCCGGAAACACTCAATACCAAAGATCTGAAATCGCGTTCTGAATCCAATTCCACAAACTCCCCAGTCAAAACAGAGACAGAGTCAAGTAACAATCACCACATAACCCGTCGCCCGAATCACTCTTAGGGTTCAATTTCAAATTGAAAAAACAAAAAGGAAGAAGGGTCAGGAATTTGAATGGCGGAGAGAAACAAAAAGCACATGCGAGAATACAGAAACTCCCAGAATCCGATTAAAGGAAGGAGGATTGAGCAAAGAAAGGCTTTCGTAATACTTACAGAGAGGAGAAGAGAATACTTGGTTTCTGCTTTCCTTTTTCTCCTTTGTGGCTTCCTCCGTTGACTGATATTTCGAATGAATATAAACCCCTTTTTACTTCTAGTGGTGATGGCCAATGGCGATGGGCCTCTCCTCTTCCCTAATAAATTAAGAAATGGCTGTATATTCCCTTTTATACAATTTCACTTCCAAAAATAAATTAGAACAAAAAAATTGGTTTGATTTATATTTTTTTATTCTCCACTTTTTTTTTATTTATATTTAATATTATACCAATTATAACGTTTGGTATTTTTTAATTATCAATTATTGTGACACGTAGACCAATATGATATTGTACTACAAAAAAAAAAGAAAAAAAAAAGTAGATGTCGAACTTACTATCTTTTATCGAATATATATATTTTAATTATTTAAACATATATCTCTAATCGAATATATATATTTTAATTAATTGAACTATGTTCAAAGTTGGTATAAAATAATTATGCAATTAAGAGATTGTTGTGAAAATTTTAATTAGGTAACCAATTTCCTTTTAACTAATTTTATTTTACAATTTAATTTACACATTATATTTATTCAAAAAAAGATTAACTTTTTGATAAAGCGATAAATATAAATAAATAACACTTTGGGTGAAGTATACAATTTTAAAATATTTTGTAATTTGACGTTCTAAAATGTCGAAATTATGGTCTCATTCGATAGTGTGTTTTTAGTTTCTACTTGTATCTTAAAAACACATTTGAGTTCATATCTAAATTCTAAAACGAAAAGAAAGAAAAAATTAATGCACCTATCTCTGACCAGAAGGTCATGATCGAACCCCCCACCCCCACAATATTATACTAAAAAAACGAAAAGAAAGAGAAAATTAAACGGCTTTTCTTAAGTTTTAAAATTTGACTTATATTTTAAAAATATTTTTAAAAACTAGATAGGGACAAAAAAATATATGAGTGCAAATTGTGTTTACAAATTTAATTTTAAAAAAATTAAAGAAATAAAAAATA